TAAAATTTACTGATGCATAAATGCTCATGATATAAAGTTGAACACAACCAGTTCTCTGCAACTTTACAATATTTTCCTTTTGATTAGAGGTACAATAAAAGATTGAAAGCTAAGGAAAATTATTATGAGTCAGGTATTCTGAAATTTTCTTCCCTTTCTTATGACATTAATTGTTTTGGAATCAATAAATAAAACTTAATCACACGTGTTTTTATAAGTTACTTTTCTTTTCACAAATAGCATGACAGCAATATTAGAATCTGCTACTTGAATCCACTCATGAAAATAACATAGTTACTCAGTGAAGTAATAAAGGACTTCTTATGAAATAACCACCCCTGGGGAACATATTTATAAAATGACAATATTTTAAAATTGATTTTGCTAAAATATCAAAGTTATTTTACTCCTCTCTCCTTCCAAAATATGTAAGGAAAGTAGCATATTTTCCTCAAACTTTTTACATAAATAAGACCTCAGACTTTACCCACTCCACTCCAAATACATGTGGTTTTGAGTTATCTAGTGTCTGTAAACTATGTCTCTTGTCTCTCTCCAGCCTGTCAAATGACATTAATGTGCAAGGCTAATCTTGGTACTTTTATGTTACAGCTTGCATCATGATGTTCCCCCAAAACCTCAGACACTCATAGGCTGGGTTTTTTGGAAGTGGCAGGATCTAGGATGTGTGATATTGGGATTAAAATCATGGGATATATAAATGAGTTCAGCATAGTTCTGAGTAGGGATAATGGAAACCCCACCCTTGGTGTGGGTGGTACCAATCAAGAGGCTTACAGACTGGATGGACTATAAAGGGAGAGAGGGAAGACAGGCCTGCTACTTCCTGCTACACCATGAACTGTTTCTCCTCTGAGATGCCCTTCTATGATGCTTCCCTGCCTTAGAATCAGCCATTGAGGCACTGAAACTTCTACAAACTGTAAGCTGAGTTAAACCCTCCCTCCTTTAACTTTGGGTGCCAGGTATTTTATCTCAGCAGGGAGCCAAAAGTAATTAAGACATTGCAGAACCTGGTTGATATAGATTTATGTAGCCAATGACAGAATTAAAAATAACTCACTGTGGTTGGGCACGGCTCTCTAATCTCAAGACATCCTTGACTTGACTGTACGGTTTCATTGCTCTAAATATTTTTATGTGCCAATGAAAGACAAATTCACATATTCATATCTTCAGTATGCATTTTTTCATCATCTTCAGACCACATATTTGTCAAAATTTGGGAGTCTCGGAACCATTCCATGATATCTTACGTAGAGTAACAGCTAGTATCCATAAAATGGTTTGTAAGACTCCATGTGAGCTGGTGTCATTTCTCTTCAGTTCTCAGCTTTTAAAATTTGTTCCTCCCCTGAACCTGCTCTAGCCACAGTGGACTATTTACTGTTCTTCAAGTCCCCAGAAGTTCTTTCTTGCATCTCACAGTTTTGCTCCCTCTGTACCTGAGAAACTTGTATCTCAGATGCTTGAATGGTCACTTTGTTAATTTGTCAGGCCTTTGACAAACTATCAATTCCATGAGGAGTTTTGACATGTCATTTAAACTAAATGAGCTGCTGCATCCTCACCCTATCTTGTCTTTCTCTATTTTTCTCCATTGTTACTTTGGTTTTATCTGTCTCATTAATTAAAATAAAAGCCCCTTGCAAACAGGGATTTTTCTGTTGGTTTCCTCTCTGTATCCATGACATATGGAATGGTTCCATAGCATATTGAACATTCAAGCAGTAATTTCAAAATTAATGAAAACAGTAATGAATTAGGTAAAAATTATCTCAACTTTCTATGTAAAATGACTGCAAATGAAATTGAGCATGTAATTGGCTCAAAAGTTGGGTTTAGCAATGAGTGAGTCAACCATTTCTACCAAAACAGGTATTCTTTTTCCTCTTTACCACATTTCCTTCCTAAATTTATGAGTTCCATTTACAGCACGAACACTAGAAGACAAAATTTTGTTTGTAATTGGGACATATGGTTTCCAGAGAGTTTGATTTTAGTTATTATCTTAGTAAAAGAAGTTTTTGAATCTTACACTTTGTAATAATAATATGCCTATCCTTGGTTTGGAACATAATATTAAACTTTCAGGGAAACAATTATCAAGATAAACACAACACAAAAACTATACTGCAGTTGTACTTGATGTTTCCTTATTTTAATAATGCCAAGTTTATATCCCAGATTTGGGCTCTTTCTTTAATGTCTGTGATGACTTTCATAGTAATTCGCATATAACATTTGGGCTACCAAAGTTAATTACATGACTTAATATATCCCCTGCTAAGTTGCTTTGCTTTACCTTTCATTCTGATGATATGTAACCTAATGATTTAACAGGAATATATATCTAATTTTAAATAAGTATGTGTATATGTATACATTGCTAACAGATACTACAATCAACCTCAAATTTAAATATAAAAATATAGTTACATCCTTAATGAAAAACTGAAAAACAGAGTTTTGTCACTATATATGTAATTTTTAATTATAAGTGTTACTTTGTGTCAGCATAGAAAAACTGTATTAGCTACTCTAAAATCTTTCATAAAGCACTTCTATTTTTCTACTAAAGAAGCTTGAGCCCAAATACTTGATGTCTCTGTATCTATATGTCAGAATGAAAAGAAAGAAATTCAAGGTGTTCTAATGACAATGCCGGTCCCCTAGCTGTGCAGTGTGTAACATGACACCCCCACTGTAGTCAGCTATGATGGTAATGGATCCTACATATTTTTAACCAATGTACTTTTCCATATTAGATGTTAATAAAATTACTATAAAATCATCCTTTTCCTCATTGATGGCTTTCTAAGGAAAATAGTAATTTTCTCTTTATCAAGTATAGGTATTTCAGTCTCTAGATTCCATTCCCCCCTCTCTCCTTGCATTTTAATCTTTATCTTTAGTCATATTTACCTCAAAGATGAGACCTTAAAAGCCAGCAAAAGTAGATAAATACATTCATATAAGCAAACAAACATATGTCAGAGAAACTTTTCAACTTCATCATTTTTCTATGAAACAGCGTATCATTGTTTTCTTTCTTAGGTTCATAAACAAACCTAACAAAGTGACAGTCTCCAACATGTTTCATTTTCTTACCATTTCTTTTTTCTCATCCTTTCTCAAAATAAGAAAGTTTCTATTTCTTAAAATCATCTTCTCATCTGAACAACTAATCTGAAGACAACAATATGCAATATGAATTCACCATGGGTGAATTCCTGCCATGTTGTTTAATGAAACTGTGTAATTTGTAATTTTTTAAATTATTTTTTATTCTCTTTAATGGTTTGATCAATCTTGCATTCTTACGTCTGGTAATCTGAGCAAGTTCTTTGAAAATAACAATATTTAATATAACAACCAGCGTTGATTCCTATCATTTTGTTTTGAAACCCTGTATCATTGGTACTGTTTTTGTGTTGTTTTGTTTGGGGCTGTGTTGTTGTTTTATTTTGTCATTGTTTTCTATTTTCTTTAAAACAAACAATTAAAAAATTGGAAAAAGCTATTTTTTCAGAAGTTCCTAGATACCAGTAGCTTTCTGTTCGCCCAAGCTCCAGCAACCTAAAAGCATGTATTTGTCTAACAATCCAGTTCTCCTGAGATAGTCTTATTACTTTTTATTTCATTACATTATACTTTTTCACCAACCAAAGCTATATGTCAGTAAAAACTACAATGAGCTATACACTGTAATTTAGTTTCAACCTATGAGTCATGTGAAATAGGATGGAGACCTTGCTTTCTCATTTGTATGTATGACAATACATTTGGACTAGAAATTCAGAGATACAGTTTTATTATCTATGACAAAAAAAGTATTGCAAAATAATGAAGACATAGGTGAGTTTTTCTGATTGTTCAATGAACTGCATGTAAACAAACTTGCAGAACTTTAACTGCATGAAAAATGCTGATTACACTCTGCAAAAAAGAAATGATTTTATTCATATTTTTGGTACAACTTTTCCACTGCACAAATTAAAGGCTTGTCAATGTACAGGACAGCAGTACTTCTATTCAGAACTTGAGAAAATTGCTCCTGGGAAATTCTTACTGTCTCAATGGAAAAGAAATTCTACTAGAAGTAAAATAGTAAAATCTGCTTTAAAATATCACTGGACATTTGCTATTTTTATGCTGTTACCTGTTTACCTACTATAAATCTCAAGGAAGGATTTTACTCATCCTGGATTTATTTCTCGTGGCACTTCACTTAAATAAGTATCAATTAACCTCTGCGATTTAAAGAGGCATAGCCACAAGTATAGTACACAGTAGAATTTAGTTAGAAAATCAACATTTCGTCTGAAATACTAAACTAAGAATAGAGAAAGGAATGAAATGAAAGGCAGTGCATTTGTTTCTTTAAATAAGATCAGTGATTACCTTCACTCTTTATATTTCCTTGCTCATCCAAGTTAAATCTAAGGAACTGTCAAAATAAATAGGAACAAAAAGTTCTCAAAATACAACATTCCTTCATCTACCTTTCTACTTCTAACTACATAGAAAACGACTTATTCTGCACTAATTTTTATAATTACTTTTAATAATAAAACTATAATTGTGAAGTCAATTGTATACAAAAAAACTTAGGTAGATAAAAAAAGAGTTTAATATCCATATACTAGTGACTGTCAGAATGATTATTTTCATACTTTTATGCAACATAAGCATTAACATGCCCCAATTCTAGACCTAACAGGTGATGTGGACACTAAGAAATTAGGATGCAACACATTATTTCAAGAATACTGAAAAAAGACTGCAAATGACTATCAATATTCTATTCTTGGACACCTTAAAGCATATATCTACCACATAAAGGTAACTCACACAAATGTAAATATACTTACATATTTAGCTGAAAACTTTGGCTTACTATATTTCTAAATCATATAACCACTCCTCCATTATTTTTAAGTAATTTAAAATGTTATTTTAAACAAAATTATACTTACTGCCCTCGAGAAGTATGGACCAGTAGTGTGATAAGTGTAGATGTCGCAGGGCATATACAGTTTAAAGCTAACATGGCATACTTAAACTCTTCTTCACAAACAACATGATCTGTTTAAAATAAAATAGGTAAATTAGAATAATTCACCTTGGGAGAATAATATTTTTAAATACTTATACTGCATGAAACTACAGAATCACAATGGAAACACACTTGTTACAGAAATGTTTTATATGTGGGATTGTAGCCCCAGAAAATGTTTCATAAGATAGTATTAAAGAAGGGTTTAAATGACTGAAAGAGCATTAAATCTTTTAATCCTAATCCTAGCTTTAACAAAACTGGCAACTTTTGATAAAATGCTTAATCTTCCTATTATCAGTATGGTACTAGCTAGGCTTGGAGTAGAATCTGGAATATGCATCTGATAATGTTATGTCTCCTTTAGTTCTGATCATTCTGTGGTATGAAAAACAATAATAGTGTACTGAATTTACAAATTCATAAGCATACAGCATTTTCCTAGAATAAAAATAACAGATTTTATGCTGTGAATACAACTATTAATCAAAAAAGGATTAAAATAGATTGAAGTAGCAAGTATGCTGGATATTCAAGATCTGTAGATTGTAGTGTCAAAAGATGGTACTGAATATAAATTGGAAATAAAGTTCAATGATGTGAAAACAGAGTCTGCGGGAGATGATGCTACCCAGGGTGCATGGGTGCCAGTCGCACCTACAGGGTGTGATGCAACTCAGCCCACGTATATCATTGTTTTATGAGAATGAGGGTTCAAGAAGTCACTTATCGGATTTCCTGCAGAAGTCACTTTTAGAAAAGTGAATAAAATGTTGCTTACATTATAAACAAAAAATCTTTCTCAAGTAAGCAAATATAACTTGTATTGGAAACCAAGTACTGTATTTTTAAATTCTAAGGCAGAAAACAGTTGTGTTAGCTAAAGGAAAAAACAGAAGATGGAAGATATCAGTGAGCCAGACCCATAAGCTGAACATAAACACTGTGTAAGTTAGGAATAAGTAAGAGAAGATTACTTGGGAAATAGTTTAGCAAATGCTCTGCTGTATGAAAGACCTTGTTATTTTTTCTTTTGCTTTAAATTGCCTTGTTTTTGCTGATGTCTATTGGTTTATTGAAAGGAACAGTTAATGCTTAATTTTCTTTCTTCACCAATTTTGCATGCTTATATCTGGCAATCTGAACAACTAATTTGAAGACAACAATGTGCAATATCACAAGCATTGGTGAATTCCTACCATCTAGTTCAGCAAATCTCTGCACCTAGTGTGTTTAGTGAAGCTCTGTTCCTAATCTGTTTTTTACTATATTTTATTCTCTTTAATTTATTCTCTTTAATTGTTTGATCAGTCTTGCATTTCTTACATCTGGCAAACTCAGCAACTTCATTGAAGATAACAAAATGTGATATAACAACCACTGTTAATTCCTATCATCTTGATTTGAAATCCCATATTGTTTTTATTATTTTTGTGTTGTTTTGGTTTTTTTCTTTGTTGTTGTTATTTTGGTCTTTTTCTCTTTAAAATAAACTATCTTGTTTTTAATTTTTCTTTTTAAATTTAACAGAAAAATCATATCCTATAGCTACATCTCAGGAGTAACTCTCAAAAATATCTAGGATATCCTAATATATGTCTCTGTCTCTCTACCCTCATCAATATGTTGTAAGATCTTTAAGAAAAATTACAAAAATATAGCCAGGATACTTAATGCTTTTCAGGAAAAACAAGCAGATTCTAAATCAAATTTTAAAACTAGAGAAGTATACTTAATCTTTACAAAAGAACAGTGTATTTAAATCACAGTTTCAATATCTCTCCAAGTATTTTTTGAATGTGTATGCTCAGTCTCTGAAAATCATGTAAGAAACTGCTAAATGCAGACTGCTATTACTTTAGACTTATATGACAGCAAACATAAGGGACCCACAAGTTTTAAACTAAAGGCAGAACATATGATCTGAGAAAACTATGTACATTTATTATAACATGAGATAGAATTTTAAAAATCCAAACTGTAATAGAAAATTTGGAAGATGTGATTAGCATATGTGCAATATGACAATTATTAACTTTCTCTAACTATAATACACAAACCACATTTCTTCCAGTAGAAGAATGTTAAAATATGTGGCACACATGTAGCACTTTGGAAATATCCCTTCTTATTTTCCTTCAATAGTTAAAAGAAAAATATCTGGTCTTTTCTCTTCCCTTTTTTTTAATGAATGTGTGCATCTGAACTTGGTAAGGAACGGATAGGGAAGAATTGTGTTGCACTTACTAATTTTTCAAAAACTGAAGTATTTGATATTATTCTAATATAATCGGTGTGAACAGGGAGGAAAAAAGACTAATAGATTTCTGGTAGCCATTTTTTTGTCTGCATATGCCTTTTCTTACTCAGGTAAACATTTTGCAGTATCCATCAATCATTCAAGCTATAGGCAAAGGTACTACCATTAATAATGGTGATTTTGCACATAAACAACATATATGTTAAACTGTTTTAGAGCTATTCACATCCATATATATATAGAGAGAGAGAGAGTAACTATAGAGACATTGTATATCTATATATCTATATATAAAATATCTATTTACATAATGGTGTTAGGGATAAAATTTTTGAGTCCAGGGATTTAGCTTAGTGGCACAGCACTTGCTTGGCAAGCACAAGGTCCTGAGGTCAATTCCCAGTACCAAAAAAAAAAAAAAAAAAAGAGATAAAAATTTTTTGCTTAGAATTTTGTGACATTAATATAAATTTAAGACACTTGATTGCCATTTACTACCAGTGTCAGCACCAATTTCTGGCACAGTTAATGGTGAAAGCATCTCTCTCCTCCTTTGTGGGTATTCATTGTTGAGAATTTACATATAGAACAATGTTCTTTATTATTAAGTATTTCTCTTTTTCCTTTTTTATATTATTATTGGGATGTTACTTATTTTAATAAGTGTATAGTTACATTTGCTCTGAATTTCATTTCAAAATAGTTGCAAAATATTCATTATAAAAGGGATATAATGGATAATAAAAACTACTGTTGCATAAATGAGTTAAGTATACAATTATATAATTATTATTCTTGATATAATTATTATTCTTGTTAAATAAAAAATAAAATCAGTACTCTCTTCATTTAAAAATGTGCTTAATCTCTATGATTAGCAGATACAGGGACAGGGCAATGACAGAATATTCAGATGGACAGTCATTTCTAGGAGCATCCATTACAGAAAGCTGTAACTCAGTCTGCAAAATGGATTATTAAGTCTCTAGATCTCTCCTCTCACACTTCCTCATGGGACAATTTTTAATACTACCCACTAACCTCCAAGTTGAATTTTAAAAACTGAAAATAGCTGGGTAAAGTGATTTCTAGGACATGCAGGACTCTGGGTTTGGCACCCAGCATCATAAAAACAGAAAACTAAATATTTTATGTTACTTTACATCTTGGTTCCCAATGTCACACGGCAGCCAGAGTTTATTGATTATACCCTTAAAATTTTCTACCCCATCCATTTTCACTTTCACTACTTACAACAGGTTTCTAAACTTTATCCAGTTTTCCAAGATCAGATACCAGATTTTACAATAAAAACATTATTTTGATATTAGAAAGACAATAAGTTTATCTAGCAGATGCTATAAAATACATCTAGGGAACAACCTGCTCATGAAAACACCACGTTTTTTTTTAGATCATGAATTTCTTTAATTGAAAAAAAATGAAATGCTTTCAAGAGAGCTCCGTGCAGGCATTGCCACCAAATAATTTCAAGCCCATTTATATTTTGCCATCAACAAGAGTGCAAAAGTAATTTCATTTTTCAGAGTTTGCTGGATTTTGGAAATACTGCTAAGCCATTGTGGACTATACTTCAAACTCTAATCATCTTTTGCCTAAGCTCATTTCAGTGGCTTTGTAACTGGTGTTTGTGTCTCCCAATTCTCCAACGTTCTACCTACGATCCTGCTAACACAGTGCTGTACACTTCAGTAGCTACAAACTGCATGGGATTGTTCAATAAAGTAAAATTAAATACAAATGAAAAGTCTAGTTCCTCCACCATACTAGCTGCACTTCAAAAGCTCAGTAACAACCGACACTACTGATTACAATATTAAATATTTTCATTATCATTAATCTTCCATTGGATACTTCTGCTTAATCTGGAAAATGAGTTCATGACTTTTCATAAATTCTGAAATATCCAGGATGTATTTCAAACTCTGCAAAATGTCATTCACAGAGTGTTAAATGTGGGTAATCTTACTAACATAATGTACCATCATTCCCATGAACATTCTCAGTCATATGGCTGCAAAAATTTGTGCATCTGCAACAAGAGAAGAAACAGCAGAACATATGGGCACAAATGCAGGTTGCGGAGATGTGCTAGTGAAAGTTTATGAAAGCTAAGTTTCTCTTCATATGGCATTATTTTTTGTTGTTTTTTTTTTAGTGAAATATGTGAATATGATTAGTGAGGAGATTGGAAATTTGAGGTGGCAGTTCATCTTTTACCTGCTTTACTGGTGTCAGCCACATTAAATTTTGAGGAAGTTCATTTTAAATAAACAAAATTCTACATTCAGTTAGGTTTGACTTTTGACAAACAAGTCCAACTAATACAGAGCACATCAACTGAGAGTGAACACTAGGCGTGGATTATAGTGAGTGCCTGGTGTGTTGTGGAACTCAAAGGCTACGGAGGAATAATGAGAAATGAAATATTAGTGAGACGAATTGGGAAAGATCAGTGAATTTCAGGTATCAGGTATGGTTAAAGGTAGTTGCATCTCTCCATCTGAGAGTATTAATTAGAAAGACAAGGAGGCAGTGGTAAAAGAAGAAGATATTAGAATTGGAAGTAATAGAGGGTTTTCATTTCTTTCTAATGATTTGACCTAGAGTAGATTATCGCCCTGGAAGAAGTTTCTGAGATAGAATGGTAAATAAAAATGGAAATTATAGAAACACATGTCTACAACTTTGAAAGAATACTTTTCATGGCTAGGAATCAGTCTCAGAAGCATGAAGAAGCACAAATGG